CTCCGACTTCGGTTGGTGAAGGGGCAATCAAAATTGATCGGCGAAAAGAACCAGCTACTCAACCTTGCCACTGCCAAGTAATTCTCTGCGACATACCCTCCCAACTTGCTTCCTCCAAAAGGAATAACCTTACACCAATCAAGCCCAAGTTGAATAGGCAACAACATCGCTGACATGAAGTTATAACTGCGAACCCAGGTTCGCTTATGTTCACCTCGTAAATCCGTATCGAACTTGCTGAAGTATGACAGAAAGAGGTGGATATGGCGTTCGCAGTCAAGTATTTTTTCATCGTCGATTGTCCTCCTCATGAGCCTCGATATCATTGCATGCAGTGCTCTGATGACATGTACAACATTATCAACATTTCCTCCGACTTCGGTTGGTGAAGGGGCAATCAAAATTGATCGGCGAAAAGAACCAGCTACTCAACCTTGCCACTGCCAAGTAATTCTCTGCGACATACCCTCCCAACTTGCCTCCTCCAAAAGGAATAACCTTACACCAATCAAGCCCAAGTTGAATAGGCAACAACATCGCCGTATTTGCATAGCGTATGAATGCGGCTTTTTTGCTCCTCCCCAACATCCACTCTTGCACCATCAAGACAACAGTTTTGGTGATCCCGAGAAAAAGAAAATGCATCGGCACATCCACATGTTGATCCAAAGTAACACCAGCATATGCCCATAAAGCGGGAATCCTCCATGGTGCATAATCAGAAGGTGACATGAACTTCAATTCCATTAGCTTGACAAATTCTGGTCTTCCTGGTTGAGAGCGAGATACTTTCCGGCAGTCATTACTACACTCTGTGATACCATTCGCAGCCTCCAGGTTCATGCCTTCGACACGAAGAAACACTTTTGCTGCCTTCATCGTCCACGATCCGTTGAACACCTTCTCGTGCGAGATTTGTGCAGCAAATCTAAGTCGTTTGTAAGTGAGAACAACCGGACGCAGTGTACCCGACGGCGGTGCCATGTCTGGCGGGTAGCTTTCAGGAATTGGAAATTCTAGAATGCTGCCGCACCCTTGTGTCCTCCAGCAAGTGCAGCGTTGACACGACCTCGTCATCCCCTGTGCATCAGATTCTGTTGCATGATATCGTTGATTCGCCATTAACACGTTGGCGAGGCAATCATCACATGCCTGAAGATTAGCACTTATGTACAAAAGGTTTGCCGTATGTCTCCAACGCGAAGTGTAGGTCCCCCCGCCCAACATTATGTAGTTCGCACCACGTCTTTCAGGCTGGTCCATCAATGAAACATTCAATTCTGCATGGACCCGAACATTTTTCTTCATGGCACCATGATAAAAAAGTTGTCCTTCAGTATTGTTGTTGGCAAGCATCCTTAGTTTGTCTGCGAACTTCCTCTCCACCTCCTCGTGCGGCCATGTTGACCTGCCAACTGCGATTGGATATGTGTATTCCAGGGAATGCACTTTATTTGCTGGGGGTGATATGGTGATTGTCTTTAGCCAAGAAGAACCTCGATTGGCCGTCACAGAATAGCTTGGCTCGAAGCCATCTGACCATTCATTTATCCACAAACAGATCAAGGGATGGTGCGCATTATTTGTTGACATCGTATCCTGGTGAGCCCTGTCATAGATCGCCCTACAGTGTTGGCTCTCCCGGTTTTTCTCAAAAGCCGGAAACTGCGATGAAACTGCAACAGTGTCATTGTCTCGTCCGCCAGCACATCCTGCATTAATTGTGTCAAGGTCCAATCCATGGGCCAGTATATCAGCTATGCAGTCTATGACGGAAACGTAGGCATGACGTTGTAGTCTAATCACGTTAGGCCTTGGTAGGTTTGGGATAAACGAGGTTTTACCTTCGAGGTACAAGTGTTGCATGTCCTCGAATGAATCGGGCATTCTGGTGAACCAGCGGGAAGGAGATCCCATACTAGGACCACCGGGAGGACCACTGGGATGATTATGGTGGGGCAACCCATTGATGCCAGACAATGGTGGGTTGCTGCCAGATGATGCCAACGATTTCTTCGCAGCCTCCTCACTTTTCATGGCTGACACACGATGGTACTTCCTCATCACAACAGCAAATTTCTTCGGCTGACCACGACTCATACAACTTATGAGTGAAGCGAGATGAAGTTGGAACGATAGATCCTCTTGTAAAAGTTTGTCCATCAAGAAATCCATTCCGAATTGTGATTTAGACACGAGATAAGCCACTCCAAGTCCCTGATGATTGTTAGTAAAGTAATTGGTGTTTTGATCTCCCGCAAAGGAAAAGGTGACTGCTTCTGCAGAAGCTTCATGCACCACAACTCCAGCTTCAGGAGCCAAATTGTTGTGATCACTTGTCTCATCATCATAACCAACACTTTCATCCATGACAAAATCAGTGTCCTCAACAGTACCTGCATCAGCACAATTTTCATTTGCAGCATCAACAATAGTAGTTGGTGTTGTCATCGATTCCTCATCTCTAGGTCTCTTGTTACTTTCGTTGGGGGGTTTGTCTGTTGTGCTCGGAATCAAGAAGTGCTTCCTTGCATTGTGGCGGCGGACTTGATGTCTTGTAACGAAGGGCTTACGGACATTTGCACAATCGATGCAAATTGACCATTTTGCAAAGCAGTTACTGCATTGCAAATTGCGCAGCCAAGGAAAACACGAACGTGGACCACAACCAGCACTGCTCTGATTAGTGTCCTGCATCAAGATGTCACTCTTACGATTGGTGCTCTGTGATTCTGCACATGATGGGCAATGAACGAGGGAACACGTTGTTCTCCATGAGGCTGCAGTGTCGTGGTCGAGATGAATATCATATTTGGCGGCATCAGCCGCCATTATCGTTACACAGAAGAATATAATGTGCGGATGTGATGTGTGTGCGTTTTTGCAATATCAGCACATCACATCCATAATAATACTATAAATATGTATAATACTATTAATACGTATTATAATATTTCACGGATTGCATGCCGGTAGATGAATTTCATTTAGAGCAGCAGACAAAACAATTATTCAATAGAAACCATTTCAACAATGTTCATTGATCTATAGGAGATATTATATGCAATGCGAATGGTACTTGATGTAGAATAAAGTAGAACATGGTGCATTCCTAGTATAGATGCATGTGATGTACATATTAGTGGTGCTCTCCAAGGTGTTTGTCTTCACCTTCTTCATCGGACTTGCAAACCTGTTTGCCGTAGAAATCTACGAGATGTGTATGGGACTTCGAAGATGAACAAATTGTTGTTTTTTCACCAATACTGATCAACAATTGGGGTGGACCACATGCACCACACTTAAATAATTGTTGTCGTTGCTGAAGCTTGCAAATCTATCACATCATGTCCTCCTCATTGTCAGATGATGAAGATTATAACAACGAACAAAATGCGAATGAGACGCTTGCATCATCATCATCACTCATCTGAAACAGTAATCCTGACGTCATTGAGCAGCAATAATCTCCATGCCTCTAGCAGCAGCATATGGAAAAAGGAAAGAATAAAGGTGAGGAAAGAACTATCGCAATTGTTACCAGCCGAGCAACGGAAGCTCATCCACATGGATGAGCTCCCTCACAAGAAGCTCACAAGAGATCATATTTCTTCATTGTTAGGGGCTTCAGCACTGAGAAGCAATGATATCGAAAGACTTATTTCAAGCAAGTCTTGTTCTGTTTTGGAAACTAAAAAGTATGTTTGTGGATTTGCCTCAATGCACATTCGCCACCTGATGTTGGAAGTGGCAGTTGATAAGGAAATGCTCCTTAGTGGAAGCGTCGTGAATTCCTTCCGTCAGCTGCTTCAATCATGGAAGTTTGAGCAGCCCACGCCACAGCAATGCAAAACAATCTTTCACATAACATATGAGTGGTTTGATGCGAACCGAACATGGAATTATGATATGGAAAGTAAGTACTTGCACTCACGAAACATGATGTACATGGATGAAGCCACGGACGATTTTGAGCAACTTGATTCAAACCTTAAGATGGGGTGCATTGCTCGATTATGCACCGAAGTAAAAAATGACATCGTTCGGAAGATTCGAAGAGTTGGTCTATTCACTCATGGAGTCAAGGAAATACGCCCTCTCACATCCGATCGTTTTTGCGCTTTGTCTATGGTTGTGTTTTTCTTACGAATTGTGCCTTCTCTTGTATTTACATCTTGTTCTTTAGGTTAACATCACGAGACCAAGCAATGCCATTAAAGAGAGTAATCAATTTAGAAAACGTCACAAAGGTGTCGAGTTCACTATTATAAGAACCAAAGGCGATGCAAGAGCTGGTGATGTCAGTAGTGAGGATGAAGACCCGGGCGACAGCGAGCAGGAAGCCGACAGTGACAACCTGGAACCACCTGAACAAGAAGCCAACGTCAGTGACGACCAGCAGGAACCTCATGCATATTACTGCCGACGTGGTTTCTACCTGAGTGGACGACGTTGCGCGAAGTGTGACATTGAATTTGTTTCAGCGTTGTCAAAGAATGGATTTGAAACAAGGGAAGTTTGACCTTGTGCTAAGACCCCAGGATGGGGTTGCCTTCATGCACAGAAGAATGCATCGATGTCAGGAACGGACCAGCAGAATGAAGAACCTGGCACCTGGCTGCTGCGCCTTCGTTCTATGTCACGATTGTTTCCAAGTGCGAGTGCTGGCATCTTCATCCTCATCGTCAGCAAAGAAAAGCACGCGCACACGAAGGAAACCCACAGGAAGACAGGATTGAGGGCACTTCGCTCATCGTCAGATATACGGCAAACATCATTTGTGTATAATAACGGCGTTTGATGTATTATTATTAAAAAAAATAGTCGCAGCATCAAAGCACCCACGGTTCCCAAACTGGGTATATAAAAATATAATATAAGCATCGATATGAAAGTACCCAATTTGGGGAATAAGTTGGTGCATCTAATAGTGTATAGGAAGTCCAGAATACACATAGTTGTTTGCGTCGGTAAAAAGGTGGTTCATGCCATTAATGACATGTCCAGACGGGGAATCGAACCCCGGTTTTCGCAACCACAATGCGAAGTACTAACCACTATACTATCTAGACCAGCATAATCGCCCTAAAACATAGTATATATACTGTGAAAAAAGCTCTTGCCTTTTTGCTTCCTCATTTGTCATTGTTGCTGCCTTTTTCGGTCTCTTCTGTGTCACATTCCAACGAGTGTATTTGTCGGCATCAAGCGATCACAATCCCGGCCGCGTCGTCAAGACAAAGCTTGTGTGGCACCCCTGCGTTACTGTAGATCTGTTTCACCACTGTCGGTACAAACTTCCGATGCTTCTGCCCAATGTGTATCAAGTTGGCTTTGCGATGGGCCAAACGTTGCAGCACTTGATTAGTCACCATACAATTCCTGAAATCCCCAGCGCCTTTGAAGTCTCGAGTTTTATTGTCCGATTGCCTTACATGTACAAGGATTGGTGGTGGAATCTCGTCACAAATGACCCGGTTCACGTTGCCGTGGAAACGACGCTACTAGCATCTGTTGTTTACATGGTGATAATATCTCGAAACAAGGACTATCAATCATCTCAACGTCGCGAAAGGCTCACAACGAAGGAGCAAGAAGAGTTATTGGAAGAGTGGAAGGAAGGGAGAGCTGATTTGGCCCCTGCAAAGATTAGTGGCTCAAAGCCGATGGTAGTGTATGCTTTCAACGGACGTACTATGGATATTCAGGTTGAGCTGGAAGGCGAAGACGATGTTGCCCGTGCCAACAAGAACACAAAGGAGAACCCTCAGAGGACCGTTCTGAATATGGCAACCCACGACTTTTTGTCCATGTCTAGCAACGCCGAAGTGAAAGACGCCAGTAGAATCGCCCTGGATAAGTACGGATGTGGTTCTTGCGGCCCTCGTGGCTTTTATGGAACTATTGACGTTCACCTTCAGTTGGAGCAAGCCATAGCAGAATTCACAGGAACTCAGGGAGCAATCATGTATTCTGATGGAGCTTCCACGGTGACGTCTACGATCGCTGCTTTCGCCAAGCGAGGAGACTTGCTTGTGGTTGACGATGGAGTGAATGAGCCCATTGTGACTGGAGTAACTCTTAGTCGCGCCAATATTGAATGGTTTCGACACAATGATATGGTAAGTTATGCGCATGAAACAATAATCAATGTTCCGGCTTTGAGGTTCAAATTCTGACAGTTGGCATGCTCGCGCACGCTAAACGGCAGATGGATCTTCGCCGAGTATTGGAGAAGGTGAGAAAAATGGACAAAGTTCTTGGTCGAAAGCAGAGCGACCAACGTCGGTTCATCGTCGTGGAAGGTCTTTACAAGAACTCCGGAACCATCGTTCCGTTTGACGAACTCGCAGCTCTGAAGCACGAATTTAACTACAGGTTGATTCTAGATGAATCTTTTTCATTCGGTACTTTGGGTCCGTCGGGAAGGGGCGTCTTGGAACTTTATCGGAAGCGACCCATGTATGACGCAGAGATTGTCACCATCAGTCTCGAGAACGCCTTAGGCAGCATTGGTGGGGTTACTGTCGGAAACGAAGAAGTCGTTGACCATCAGCGCTTGAGTGGAGCTGGATATTGCTTTAGTGCTTCGTCTCCACCCTTTACGGCTAGTGCCGCTATCTCATCCTTGCAACAATTGGCCTCGCAACCACAGATTCACTCCCGTCTCCATGACAACATCAAGTCCTTTCACGACAAGATAAAGAGAGTCGATAAGCGAGTTATTCCCGATACATTGGTCTGTACAAGCGACGAGCGGTCGCCAATCGTCTTTCTTGAGTTGGATCCAGCAGATGCTGCGCAGACCACGTACGAGGCCAATGTTTCCAAGCTCGATGTTATCGTTAGGGATTGCCTGGACAATGGTGTGGCGATTATGTCCACACAACGACGCTTTCACCGAAAGAACATTCCTTCACCGGCGATAAGGCTGACGCTGTCGGCTGCACATACAGACGATGATTTGGATCTGGTATTGAGTGTTCTGACAAATGCTGTTCGTGCCAACCCTTAGTCGTAGTTCTTATCGCTCATTTCTGCATTCAGTATCCGATAGTAACGAAACCAGCCTATAGCATACTGCTACAGTCTCGTCATCCAGTCCTCATGTCTATACTAGTCCTCTTCCACCTTTTATGTCAGAAGATGGTCTGTTGTTTTTCTTCAGAAGGAACAGTCCAGTCCGCCTAGGAGGAGCGGCATACCAGGCGATCTATACAGGAAGCAATCAAAGAGCCGAGCTGTCCTTTGCATGTTGCAGTACAACCATCATCATGCAACAGACGTAATTCATTTTCTGAACGCCTCCTCATCATCGGGTTTGATAAAGTGTTCAAGTTGTGCCGATGCAAAACTCACTGTCATGCAGATAAAGATATGACTACATTTATTGCGTTTTGCCACCGAGGTGGTATTTTTGCATTTTGGCCCGTATGTGTCTATGTACAGGAGGAGTCTGTAGACACTTGTTGATACTGTGCCTCTGGTCACAGTATTGTTCAAGTTTTTCCCAGTTATTTTTGCCACCCTGGAGGTTCCGGAATTTCGGCTCTTTTACCTTTAAGTGTATAGTGGCTACGTATACAGTACTAATTCTACAACTTCGTTCATCACGCCGGACAAATATTCCACGTTCCATCACCCCTTCAAATGTCCGGATCATTAGGTACATTAATTGCATGACGTGACAAATTTTGAGCTTTAAGTAAAGAACTTGAGCTTAGACTTTGCGACAATGGAATCGACGTCTTATGAAATCCTACTTAAGGATATAAGACATTTGAAGTGTCGGCAGCCAGAGCCATTGGCTCAAGAGCCGCTGGCTCAAGAGCCAACGGCTGAACAACAGCCCCCGACGAAGTCAAACTCAAGAACACACTTTTTTGTGTGTCATAGAGCTTGTCATTCGCTTAATGTATTCTCTTCATACTTGCTATATAGCAACCATAGATGACCTGTCATTTCTTTCGTTCCCCGTTTGGCGAGTTCTCATTTAAGGAAAACACGTTCCTCGACTAGTTCGATGAAAGTAAACTGGCTCTTGAGCCAGTGGCTCAAGAGCCAATGACTCAAGAGCCAATGACTCAAGAGCCTCTGGCTCAAGAGCCAACGTCTTTTCCAAATATCCCTACATAGTACTAGGGTTCATCCAAGACATTGAATCGATGTCATACTTGTCATAACACCGATGTTAACAAAGTTCCAAAACTTAAGCACGGTTTTTATTATTGTGGTTCAACAGAAGACATTCTATCATTTTGAAACGTGGAATTATTTAGGTGATCGTCGAACATATTTCCGGTAGATAATCTGCGTGAAAGGTATGAGACACATAAAAGAGCCGAAATTCCGGAACCTCCTGGTGGCACGTAGGGTGGCAAATTTTTTACGTGAACATTGCGTTGTTTTGCCACTCGATCCGTGTTTTTGCCACTCGAATTAGTCGATCGCGAGAATGGGACTCCGATGCAAAAAAAATTGGGGTGGAGTGCGCATTGCATCGCGCAGCACTAGAAGATATACCGGTAGTTGGTTATGCCTCCTATATTACACAGTATTTTCGTTTTGCCACCCGAGGGAGTGCCGCGACACTGTCCAGTATTGTTGTTTTGCCACCGAGCTGTGATTCCACTCGAATTTTGTCCTGTACTCCGAGTTGAGCGTTTTATGACACGTTGTACACTTGTACGGAATGATTACTGGATACAGTACTGGCGTCTTGTCAGCGTAGCCATAATACGATGTATGACTGTAACATAGTCCAGTACTTAAGCCAGTAGTCACAACTCTACCATGTAGAGGTTTGTATGCTGACAAAAATTAGAGTGCCACTAAATTGGGTTTTAACAAATGTCTGTTACATCTAGCATGCCACCTCCTCTCTGTCTTTGCACTAAGAAAAAAGATGTACTACCAGCATCTTGTTTGCTTCATGGCTTTCAAGGCCATCATAGAAATGACAAGGATTCTGACATTGTTGACTTTGCACAACAAAGCAACTTCTATGAATCACTCAATGATGACTTGATGCAATCATGGATGTGGGTGACAGCATATGGAGTGCTCAATCCAGATCCTCAAGATACAGCACAAGTTGCCATCAATACTGTTGACATCTATTGCGCTTCAACTGGGTTTACTACTACCGTAGACTTGAAACAATGTGACACAATGACAGTGGGATGAATGCATCCCAGTCTTTGTGAGAACTAAGTTTGTAACAAGCAACATTGATAGATACCATTATGCATGTTGAATGGTGTGGTTGTCCTGTTAAATAATGCATGTTAGCTTCTTGGCTGATGTCCAAGCAATCCTGTCCCATGGAATGCATGCACAGACCAAAGACTTCAAGCATAGCATCACCTCCTTATCACCAGTGAGCAACCAGCAGCAGATCATTTTTTCTTAAGCATAGCCATGTGTCCTTGAATTCAATGATAGACGATGAGGCAACTGATTATTGATTTGGGAACCAGCACAACTTTTATGTGACATACACAAGAAGTGATAAATCAATGATCATTAACTAAAATCCAATTAAGAGAAGGAGAAGAAAAGTGAAGTTAGTTGAGGATGCCTTGAAAATTCTCTGGACCATTGTGATAACAGCATAGTTGCTTGCCCTCTTGGTTGAAATCAACAAGCACATGCTTATGTCTGCTGCTTTCATTTGCTGTATCCCCAATTGGAGCTGCCAAAGTAAACAACTGCACTGAATTGAGTGGAAGGTAAAAATGGTTCTATTAAAGGCCTCATATCTGGTGGCAATAGCATGTGATTAGATCAGCATGTCAGCAGTCAACAGGAGGATCAATCACTTTAATCAATTGATGTTTTCATTGCTGCTTGCCTTGTCACATGTTCAGGCAGGACTCCAACTCTGATACAACAACTGCCAGTTCCTTGGGTATACTTTTTGCTGTTTTCTTCTGTCATAGCAGCAGTGCTTGAGGGGTTGTTGCCGTGCCTTCCACATGTCACAAAACCCGTACCACTGACAACGATTCCTTTGGTTTCAGCTCGCTACTGAGGCGGAGCGTACAAAAGTGTGAGTGCTGACAAGTATAAA